GCTTTGGCCTTTGTTCTTATTCTCATTTTCGCCATTTTTATGATCCTTGTTTTTTTGCCTTTTCACATTCATCCCAACCAATTAAATAAGCTGTCCTCGGAAGCAAACTGCAAAAATCCGCAAAAGATCTTTTAGTTTCAAGTTTCTCAATGATTTTCTAAATACATCATTAAGTGTTTCTAAAAAAATTCTTACTGAAAAGAAATCAGTGAGAGCCCCTAAATCTGCATTATCCAAATCTGAAACTAGAAAGTTTTCGGATGCGATGTCGAAATCCCCATGATTAGGGTTCTTCTCCACAAAGGACGATGAAGCTTCAATATTCTTGCTGACCAAGTTATCTTCAGAAACATTCAGTTCCCCTGCCACTTGTGCTCTTACGTCTGATGTCGAACCAAAAGAAGCTTCTGGAATGTTCTTCAGTCCCTGTTTTTTACCAGAAAACATTAACTATGATACGCGGAAAAACGTCAAGGATACTTGCAAAGAAAGGAACTAACCTGAACAAATGTATCAAGAACTATATTAGTATCTTCATACGCTTTTTCATTCTCAGGAACAGAAATCGCAAAACTCTCACTCTCATCTCCAGTTTTCTCCCATTGCTTTGGTTGCTGATATGTGATCTTAGAAACAACATATTCTCCAATCTCTTCTTCTTCTGTTCCCAAGTGGTACTGGTGCAGAACCCAGTTAAGTTTCTCGGGTTTTGATCCCTTCCTCGCGCTCTTATAGAGCACCATGATCTTCTTAAAACCTCTCTGGACTCCATTGAGCATCACCGGTTTGGTTTTACCCGTCGTGTGCCAGCGAACTGATTCATCCGTCAGACAAGATGGTGTAATCCTTCTCCTCTTTCTCTCCCCCTTTGTATAGGCTTTCGCCGTCTTGTTAAAGAAGAAGACACTAGTTCCATCCTTATTAACTCCTGCAAACAAAATACTTACCATTTTAATGAGTGATTGATCACTAATTAACAACTTGAAAACTTTAAACCGAAGAGAGGATTTCTGTCTAAATATTACCTGGAAGGTTTTGAGGGTGAGTGTAATTGATATCAGTCACTGAACAGATGAAGTCTTGGATGAGAAGATGTGGTTTTAAACCATCAATCCCACACTTAGCTTCCAAATGCTCGATCACTTCCTCGTCGGTTGGATCGAATTTCACACCTTTAGGAAGGCCTGGCCACGATGGAGTCAGTACCTGACAAACGAAAACCAAAACTCAGTATTCACATTAAAACATGAACACAAGCTTGAAGTAATTACAAGTGTTCTAAAACGTTCTTTACATTGCTGTTGTCGATGCGGCAGGAGCAATTAGGGCAGTTGATAGAAGCTCCACAAGCTGTAATCTGAAGAGCTGAAGACAGAGACGCATTCGTTATAATACTCGCAATCCATGGACCATCCACAATCCAAGCCCTGTGTTGTTTAGTGACAAAAGGAAAGGCATATAAGGTTATTAACATCTCTACATTGTTCAAAGAAGACTGGAAAACAAGTGTACTATATTTTTGGTCGGAAACAGACAGAAATTCCACGACTCACTCAAATGTTGCACTAGACTTTTAAGCTGAAAACAGAGGAAAAATACAGGGAATACCCAAAATAAAAGAAGAAAAGCTGAAATTTCGCATTTTTATTTCATAACCTAGCTTAAGAAAAAATAACATCAATCTATTCAAGTTCTTGGAACAATGTAATCGGATAGCTGCAAACAATTAAGCTAATAAGAGTATATATATATTACATAATAATATGAATATACAGACAGTCTGTTCTTGAATCTTGATTAAAGTAATATCTTGATAGCTGAAATTTTGTATTTTTATTTCATAACCCAGCTTAAAAAATACATCAATCTTTTGGAACAATTAAGCTAATAAGAGTATAAAAATACAGAGTCTAGCCATTAATGTTCTTGATGTTCTTGATTAAAGTAAATACTATCTTGTAAAGAAAAGCTGAAATTTTGCATTTTTATTTCATAACCCAACAACAACAAAAAAAAGCTTTCAGTTTTTTTTTTTTTAACAATCACATGAAACGATGCGTATTATACAATCGTAAAATATTCATCGAAATCTGCTTAGGATCTGAGTGAAATCATATCAACAAAAATTTTGGGCTCTAGATATTGTGGTTTAGGGTTTTTCAATCTTTACCTCGTCATGACCTACCCAAACACAAAGAACGATC